CACATAAAATATAAACTCTTGGCTTCTGTTCACATACGGGAATTAGGGATATCCTCTGTGAATAGTACTTCTCATAGATTATCGTGAGTTGAATATTAAAAATAGTTGATACAGCTCAAAGAGCATATACTCTAGCACAGTTTTAGTCATATGTTTCAAGCACAACACTCTATACCTCTATAGGAAAGAAAATGAAGAACTGGCATCCATAAACTAGACAGAAGCCTATATTATGTTAGGTAACACCTCAAACTCAGAAAAGTAGAAACTAAAGAAAGAAAAAGGTATAAAAATTAAGTTAGAAAATTCACTTCAAAAATCCATGGGAAATGGAAGAGACCATACCTTGAATAACTCAAACTCCTTCTTTGGCATCAACAGCTAATGACAAATGATGAACATAAAATAAGTACATAATACATATGCACACCAGGCCAGCCAAAACAAGCACAGCAAACAATTTCCATTGCCGTCACTTTAAGTTATTGACATACAGAAACTATACACTAATTCTTCATTTTAAATGTTGCTTAATGCATGGATTCTAATAAGGCCAAGTCCCTCTAGATAAGTACAGGGCCTATAATGGCTTGAATGTCATGAGGAGCCATAAGTACTTAAATGAATGGTTATGGCAGCAGGCGTATGACCGCAATTCTAGGTTTAGACAGTCTGAATTTTATTAAGCTTGGACCTGGCATAAAAATTACCTATTTTACTGCATAGTCTATGTAGCTTCTACTCAAATTGATGACATTATTATGGAATCAGATTTTATCTTTTTCTCAAGAGCCTGAAATTAGAAGAAATCTTCCTGGGTGAATAAGAAAGAAGCCACCCTGGGTTCAGAGGCTGTACATGAGGCCATCCATTCTGTCTCTGTTGGCAAACCTAACTCTAGAGAGCCTGTCATGGGTCTAAAAATCCCAAGAGTTTAACAACAAGTGAATCCAGATGTCAGGGTGAATGAGATGACCAGAGACACTGACATTCTAAAATGTGGCAATGGGCCTCAAGAATTATTCAACGAGCAAGAAGAGAGAACCTGACCTATCTAATCTATATCAGAAGTATATTTTAATCTTAAAATCAAGAGAGGAAAAAATATTATGATCTAACTGAACAGGTACTCATGTAGTAGTGTAAGGTGAGATGAATACAAGTTCAAGGCTGGTCAATGGCAGCACATTTAAGAGATTCTGTAGGCAAAGGCCTGTTAAGATGAACTGCTGGACACTCCAGCCACTGTCTCAGTGCCATCCTCTAACAAGAGGAAGCCACTGGTCGATAGGAGTGCTGTGGGTGAAAAGATAGAAGTACTATTTCTCTGAATGTCAGAAACATTATAGACTGGGGGAAAAAAAAGCATTCAGAGAAACGGTCACTTACTGCTAAACATTTTGAACAATTTCCTGAAGAAGTAAGTCAGAAAACATACGTGTAATTCTTCCCTGTGTCTATCATCATTGCCTCCCAATTACTTTAGAAAAAAATGTACATCCAATTAAATTTCAAAATGATTAATACACAAAAGGTACTTAAATCCTGTCAGAGAGTGATACATTTATAAATTTGTAATATTAAGCTCTGCTAAGAAATCAAAATTACCTGTATGGTATGTGTATAAGGTGGATCGGCACGCCCCAATCCAGATTCTGGAGGTCTCACAATATCCAAAATGTTATTTGGCACAAATCCAGAGTCTCCACTTGCATTTCGAACTTTCCACCACTGCTTCCTATCATCAAGTATCTGTCATCATGCATAAAAATAAAAGTATAATTTCCATATAAGAGTCAACACATGAAGGAAGTCAATTTTTATTCCTAGACTTCAACCAAGAACATTTTTTCACTTCCGATAAATTGACTCAGCATCAACATATTGTTAATTGTATGATTCTCAGAATTACAATAAAAGTTACATTTACTAGTATAGAATAGATAAGGTATCACACTATGGTGAATCTACCCAGGTCCGTATTATCTCCTAACATTGTATCTGCATTATTTGAAGTACTTATAGAGCACTAAGATGATTCTCTTAGAAAGTCCTATTGTCTCCATCTTGGGGATAGGGAAAAAAAAGTATAAAAACCATATATTTTTTTTTACAAAATTTATTGTACATATCATTCACCTTCTACATTCAAGAAGATGAATGCTCAATTATAACCTAACAAGGAGATTTGGGTGTCATGGTAGACTATCCCTAACATTAGTTCATGGACAGCTGGGTATATTTGTGTAAGGACACTAGGATAAGAGAAAATGTTTTCTCTTATCAAAATTTTTATTATATGCATCTATATCTGAATTGATAACTGGCCTGATTCCAAAATGTATAAATCTCAGAAGAAGAAAAAAGGGAAGGAAGAGAACAAAGTAAGCTAAGTAACTCACACCCTCCCATATCCCCTCCCTCTCAGGAAACAGATAAAAGGGTAATTTAAAGCCACCTCTGTAGAAGGGGTATATATCTACCACTTCTAAATAGACACAGGTATCTCTAATATACTGTATCTTTAGTAATATTATACTGAAGAATACTTTCTTGACCTTGTTATTTCTTTGAGGAA